TGACTTCAAAGATTCTGAAAAAGGGAATTTTTATTTATTTTTTATTTTTGAGTTGGAGTCTCACTCTTGTCACCCAGACTAGGGTACAGTGGCTCACAACCACTGCAGCCTTGACCTGCTGGGCTCAGGCGATCTTTCCGCCTCAGCCTTCCAAGTAGCTGAAACTACAGACACACACCACCATGTCCGGCTAGTTTTTGTAATTTATTGTAGAAATGAGGTCTCACCAAGTTGCCCAGGCTAGTCTCGAACCCCCGGGCTCACGCAGTCCTCTCGCCTTGGCCTTCAAAGTGCTAGGATTACAGGCTAAGCCACCATGCCCCGCCAAAATATGAATTTCTAAAAGAGATTATGCATTTTTCTTTGACTGTCATTTATCATAGAATAGCTTGTTATATAGCCAGAATTATTTTGGGTACTGACTTGGCTGAAAATGAGAGAGGAACTGAGTGGCAAGATTTTGGTGAGTTAAGTCTTGTTCTTCTCTGAATCTAGTTTAAAGAAATTTGAAAATTTTACACATACCTTGAGAGAAACTAGGCTCCCCCAAAATATTATCAAACCATACTTTAACTTTGGTCCTAATTTTTCTTTTATTCATGTATTCAGTGCCTACTTTGTATAGAAACACAGTCTTCTGAACATTTATGGGTTTTTTTTCTTTGTATTTGTTAAGGTATAACTTACATAAAGTTTTTGAGTTTGAATCTCACTCTGTCACTCATGGCCACCGCAGCCTCAACCTGCTGGGCTCAGGTGATCCTTCTGCCTCAGTCTTCCAAGTAGCTGGAACTACAGGCATGTACCACTACGCCCAGCTAATTTTTTGATTTATTGTAGAGATGAGGTCTTGCCAAGTTGCCCATGCGGGTCTCGAACCCATGGACTCAGGCAGTCCTCTCACCTCGGCCTCCCAAAGTGCTGGGATTATTTATAGGTATGAGCCACCACACCTGGCCAACAAACAATTCTAAGTGTACAGTGTAATGAGTCTGGGCATTTTGCATACATGTGTAATCACTACCATAGTCAAGATACAGAACAGTTCCCTCATCCTACAAAGTCTGCTTGGCCCCTTTGTTCTCCATCCCCTCCCCCTCACCTCCAGTCTCAGGCAACTGCTGATCTGCTTAGTTTCCAGCATTTCCAATAATAATCATAGAGTCAAGAATTTTTAAATAAAAGGTGAAAAAGCAGACAGAAGGAGAAATGAGAGAGAGAAATTGGTAACAGCCAAGACTAGATGCAGCTTCACTTGATGGTGAATTAGCCCTACTTGGAGACCCCAATAACGTGGTAAGACATATTTAGGATTACAGAGAAAGAACACGAGTTGTAATATACAGCTCAGATATAAATCTGACAACCGGATTTCTGAACACAGATCTGGATTCATTTTTAAGCTGATATTTTAAAGAACCCCTCAGCCTCAGAAGATTCTAAATGGCCAACTGTTTGAAGACACAGCATTTGAGTAGATAAAACTTCTGCCTCAGAGGATATATTCTCTCACAAGCTATTAATTAAAAGACTCATAGTTCCTGGTTCTCATCAAGATTTATTAGCCCAGCCAGGCTCGGTGGCTCAGCCTGTAATCCCAGCGCTTTGGGAGGCTGAGGTGAGTGGATTGCCTGAGCCCACGGGTTGAAGACTCACCTGGGCAACTTGGTGAGACCTCATCTCTACAATAAATAAATAAATAAATAAATAAATTAGCCGGGCATGGTAGCGCACGCCTGTAGTTCCAGCTACTTGGAAGGTTGAGGCTGAAGGATCGCCGAGCCCAGCAGGTCGAGGCTGCGGTGGCCAGGAGCGGCCACTGCACTCCAGTCTGGGCGACAGAGTGAGGCTCCAACTCAAAAAAGAAAAAAGATTTATCAGCCCAAACTGAAATATGTGAGTGTGGTGTGTCTATGAGAAACTAAATACAACAAAGACAAGAACATGGCGACTAAAGTTTTATATGGAGCTCTCTAGGGTCTGTGTGTGTGTGTGTATGTGTGTGCGCATGCCACAATCACAGCTCACCACAGCCTCGACTTCCTGGACTAAGGCAGTCCTTCTGCCTCAGCCAGCCAAGTAGCTGGGACTACCAGCATGTGCCACCATACCTGACTAATTTTTAAAATTTTTTTGTAGAGGTGAGGTCTTGCTGTATTGTCCAGGCTGGTCTCAAAACTCCTGAGCTCAAGTGATCCTCCTGCCTTGTCCTCCCAAATGCTAGGATTATAGGTGTAAGCCACCATGCCTGACCTGCTCTTCGGGGTCTTGACGCTTTCTGCCTCTTTGTGGGCCCCAGGCACTGTCTGAGGCCTGGGGCTACCCCTGAGAGAGAAGAGAAAGACAAGGCACCAGGCCTCCTGTAGGAGCTCATATTCTGATCACAGGAGGTGGGACCCTCCATCAGAGACTAGAGCAGGGTGGGGCGAGGGGAGGAGCACCTATGGGCTGGTCAGGGAAGGCCACTCTGAGGATGTGATCTTTGAGCTGAGACTGGCATGACAAAGGAACTAACTCCTTCTAGAGAAAGAGCACTCACTTTAGAAATGAGGACCAGCACATGCAAGGTTTGGGGGAGGAAGGTGGGAAAGAGGTTGGTTTGTTCAAGAAAGAAGGGCAAGAGTGGCCTGAGCACAGTGACCAAGGTGGAGGGGAAAACTAGCAGAGGCCAGAGAGTTCAGAAGTTTTGCTCCAAAAATGAAAACTGAAGCCCTCTTGGAAACAAAGTCACCAAACTGGCTGTGATGGTGCCCTGGTGCCCTGAGAGGTGTGTCACTGTTGGGCAGTAGCTGGGAATGCTTAACAGTCACAGCGTTGCTATCTACTTCCTCAGGGACTGATCATAGACTCAGAGCTGGTGGGGATTGTAGGGTTAATCTAGCCCAACCCTTCTATTTTGCAAATGAAAAAACAGAGGCCCAAAGAGGGTAAAGTTCTTACCTGAAAGAACAGCCTGAGTGAGGTCAAGGGGCAAATGATAAACTGGGGGAAATATTTGCAGTTAGTATCAGAGGTTGGGGCTCAATTTCCATACTATATACAGAGCGGCAGGGCTGGAGCAGGGGATAAGAGGAGAGGGAGGCACAAAAATGGGGAGACAAAACGCCAAATATGACATCGTGTGTAACTGCTGAGCTGAGGCACAGCACACACGTTCACTGCCCAGGGCAGAAGTGCATCCAGCCTCGTGCAACTAGCAGTTCCGGTGAAATGAAAGCTTGTGGTTGGGCAAACACTGAGGAGGACTCAAACATCATTCAATAGGTGCCTAGATAGATAAATCGTGGTCTGCTCAGACAGCGGAATACTCCTCAGCAGAGAAAGGAAGAAACCACTGATCCATGCAGCAACGTGGATGAACCTCACAAGCGTGTGGAACAGAAGGAGCCAGGTGCGGAAGAGACTGTGCTGTAGGTGGCCATTTATTTGAAGGTCTGTACTAGGCAGCGCTAACCAACAGTTCTCTAGAGGAGTGGAGGCTGACTGCAAAGGGGTGCCAAAGGGACTTTTTGAGAGTGTTTTTCTATCACATGTATATATACATTTGTCAAAACTCTTAAAATAAGTGGGTCCTTTTTATGTATGTAAATTATACCTCAACAAAAGTTGGTTTAAAAATAAATTTTTAGACTGGGTACAGTGGCTCATGTCTATAATCCCAGCACTTTGGGAGGCCAAGGCAAGAGGATTGCTTGAGCCCAGGAGTTTGAGACCAACCTAGGCAACATAACAAGACCTCCTCTCTGCAAAAATTAATGGTATGGTGGCACATGCCTATAGTCCCAACTACTTGGGAGACTGAGGAAGGAGGATCACCTGAGCCCAGGAGGTCAAGGATACTGTGAGCTGTGATCATGCCCCTGTACTCCAACCTGGGTGACAGAGTGAGACCCCAACTCAATCCGTTTTTTTAAAGAGAGGGAAAAACATAGGTGGGGACAAAGACAAGCTTTTGGTTAGATTGCTATTTGTTTGCCAACTGCTTACCAGGCAACTTCTGTGTGCAGACACTGTAACAAGGACTGACCAGCTCTTTGCATCATTACATGGTGTGACAGAGGCATCAACTCCGGCCCCATGAGTCTATATGAGCTCTTGGATTCCATCCACAGGACTCAGCTGTAGACAACTGCCCCCTCATCCACTGCTCCCAGGCCTGGAGACTCACAATCAGAACCCAAGTTAGGGCAGGGGCCGTGGCTATTGAGGAGAAACATTATTCTCCCTTCTTGGTCTCTGAGCACTGAGAAGTCAGTCAAGCAATGCAAATAGGAAGGAAATTGGGCTTGTTCGTGAACCGGGGCACCATCATGACATGTATATACAATTCTGTTTAATGACCAAGCCCCATCTCACCTGCTTGTACTGTTTGCTCAGAAGTTCTTAGCCAGGCTCGGTGGCTCAGCCTGTAATCCCGCGCCTTTGGG